TCATGGTTAAGCCATTGAGATGAATAGGACAGTTAGTAAGTCTCAATGCTGTGGGTTGAGGCCCTCTGAAAACTCAGGAAGACACTGAATTGGTGATTTTTAGGTGTTTTTCACAACCCAAAGGACTAAAAATTTTTTTAAAAATTAATGAAAACTTTGATTTTGGGGCAGTTTTGTGGCATTGGGTAGGCAGATTCTGTGTTAAATTTCATTGATGCAGACCCATGGAACACATGAGGTCTTGCCTAACGGTAGAAGTACAGATTAGTAGCCGAATATAGCTCAATAGTCAGACTGTATATTATTGAGAAGTTGTCTTACAACTATCAATTTCCTAACAGAACTTCATTGGAAGAAAGTTTTTTTCATAGAATAGAATCATAGAATCATAGAATATCAGGGTTGGAAGGGACCTCAGGAGGTATCTAGTCCAACCCCCTGCTCAAAGCAGGACCAATCCCCAACTAAATCATCGGAGCCAGGGCTTCGTCAAGCCTGACCTTAAAAACCTCCAAGGGAGGAGATTCCACCACCTCCCTAGGTAACGCATTCCAGTGCTTCACCAACCTCCTAGTGAAAAAGTTTTTCCTAATATCCAACCTAAACCTCCCCCACTGAAACTTGAGACCATTACTCCTTGTTCTGTCATCTGCTACCACTGAGAACAGTCTAGATCCATCCTCTTTGGAACCCCCTTTCAGGTAGTTGAAAGCAGCTATCAAATCCCCCCTCTTTCTTCTCTTCTGCAGACTAAACAATCCCAGTTCCCTCAGCCTCTCCTCATAAGTCATGTGCCCCAGACCCCTAATCATTTTTGATGCCCTCCGCTGGACTCTTTCCAATTTTTCCACATCCTTCTTGTAGTGTGAGGTCCAAAACTGGACACAGTACTCCAGATGAGGCCTCACCAATGCCGAATAGAGGGGAATGATCACGTCCTTCGATCTGCTGGCAATGCCCCTACTTATACAACCCAAAATGCCGTTAGCCTTCTTGGCAACAAGGGCACACTGTTACTCATATCCAGCTTCTCGTCCACTGTAACCCCTAGGTCCTTTTCTGCAGAACTGCTTCCAAGCCATTTGGTCCCTAGTCTGTAATAGTGAATGGGATTCTTCCGTCCTAAGTGCAGGACTCTGCACTTGTCCTTGTTGAACCTCATCAGATTTCTTTTGACCCAATCCTTTAATTTGTCTAGGTCCCTCTGTATCCTATCCCTACCCTCCAGCGTATCTACCACTCCTCCCAGTTTAATGTCATCTGCCAACTTGCTGAAGGTGCAGTCCATGCCATCCTCCAGATCATTAATGAAGATATTGAACAAAACCAGCCCCAGGACCGACCCTTGGGGCACTCCGCTTGATACCGGCTGCCAACTAGACATGGAGCATTGATCACTACCCATTGAGCCCGATGATCTAGCCAGGTTTCTATCCACCTTATAGTCCATTCATCCAGGCCATACTTCTTTAACTTGCCGGCAAGAATACTATGGGAGACCGTGTCAAAAGCTTTGCTAAAGTCAAGGAATAACATGTCCACTGCCTTCCCCTCATCCACAGAGCCAGTTATCTCATCATAGAAGACAATTAGGTTAGTCAGGCATGACTTGCCCTTGGTGAATCCATGCTAACTGTTCCTGATCCCTTTCCTCTCTTCTAAGTGCATCAGACTTGATTCCTTGAGGACCTGCTCCATGATTTTTCCAGGGACTGAGGTGAGGCTGACTGGCCTGTAGTTCCCTGGATCCTCCTTCTTCCCTTTTTTAAAGATGGGCACTACATTAGCCTTTTTCCAGTCATCCGGGACCTCCCCCGATCACCATGAGTTTTCAAAGATAATGGCCAATAGCTCTGCAATCACATCCATTAACTCCTTTAGCAGCCTCGGATGCAGCGCATCCGGCCCCAGGGACTTCTGCTCTTCCAGCTTTTCTAAATATTTCTGAACCACTTCTTTCTCCACAGAGGACTGGTCACCTCCTCCCCATACTGTGCTGCCCAGTGCAGTAGTCTGGGAGCTGATCTTGTTCGTGAAGACAGAGGCAAAAAAAGCATTGAGTACATTAGCTTTTTCCACATCCTCTGTCACTAGGTTGCCTCCCTCATTCAGTAAGGGGCCCACACTTTCCTTGACTTTCTTCTTGTTGCTAACATATCTGAAGAAACCCTTCTTGTTACTCTTAACATCTCTTGCTAGCTGCAACTCCAAGTGTGATTTGGCTTTCCTGATTTCACTCCTGCATGCCTGAGCAATATTTTTATACTCCTCCCTGGTCATTTGTCCAATCTTGCACTTCTTGTAAGCTTCTTTTTTGTGTTTAAGATCAGTAAGGATTTCACTGTTAAGCCAACCTGGTCGCCTGCCATATTTACTATTCTTTCTACACATCGGGATGGTTTGTTCCTGCAACCTCAATAAGGATTCTTTAAAATACAGCCAGCTCTCTTGGACTCCTTTCCCCCTCATGTTATTCTCCCAGGAGATCCTACCCATCAGTTCCCTGAGGGAGTCAAAGTCTGCTTTTCTGAAGTCCGTATTTTGCCACTCTCCTTTCTTCCTTGTGTCAGGATCCTGAACTCGACCATCTCATGGTCACTGCCTCCCAGGTTCCCATCCACTTTTGCTTCCCCTACTAATTCTTCCCTGTTTGTGAGCAGCAGGTCAAGAAGATCTCTGCCCCTAGTTGGTTCCTCCAGCACTTGCACCAGGAAATTGTCCCCTGCACTTTTCAAAAACCTCCTGGATTGTCTGTGCACCGCTGTATTGCTCTCCCAGCAGATATCGGGGTGATTGAAGTCCCCCATGAGAACCAGGGCCTGTGAGCTAGTAACTTCTGTTAGTTGCCGGAAGAAAGCCTCATCCACCTCATCCCCCTGGTCTAGTGGTCTATAGCAGACTCCCACCATGACATCACCCTTGTTTCTCACACTTCTAAACTTAATCCAGAGACTCTCAGGTTTTTCTGCAGTTTCATACTGGAGCTCTGAGCAGTCATACTGCTCTCTTACATACAGTGCAACTCCTCCACCTTTTCTGCCCTGCCTGTCCTTCCTGAACAGTTTATATCCATCCATGACAGTAATCCAGTCATGTGATTTATCCCACCAGGTCTCTGTTATTCCAATCACATCATAATTCCTTGACTGTGCCAGGACTTCCAGTTCTCCCTGCTTGTTTCCTAGGCTTCTTGCATTTGTGTATAGGCACTTAAGATAACTCGCTGATCGTCCTGCTTTCTCAATATGAGGCAGGAGTCCTCCCCTCTTGCACTCTTCTGCTCGTGCTTCCTCCTGGCATCCCACTTCCCCACTTACCTCAGGGCTTTGGTCTCCTTCCCCCAGTGAACCTAGTTTAAAGCCCTCCTTACTAGGTTAGCCAGCCTGCTTGCGAAGATGCTCTTCCCTCTTTTCATTAAGTGGCGCCCGTCTCTGCCTAGCACTCCTTCTTCTTGGAATGCCATCCCATGGTCAAAGAATCCAAAGCCTTCTCTCCGACACTTTTTCCATGTCCCTTTTTAATTTGTCCTTAATTTAGGCTTGCCCAAATTATTTGTGTGACAGTCTGTACCCCTATGTTCACCCCTTTTACAGGACTATGATCAATTTTGTACAAAGTATGTCTTATAAGGTATCATTTGAAAACTCATAAGTTGCTAATCATTATTGTCCTGGTGAACTATGTGTTACAACATTGTATGTAAAGTTATAAGATTCTACTCTATGATATTACTAAGGCATATTCCGCATCTGGAGAGCAGTCACAAACCAGTTCTCTAGAGACAAACAAAATCAAATGGACAGTAACCATTCTTTGGCAAGAAAAGATGTGAGGTGAAAATCTACATCTTAACAAAGAAAGAGCTGGTCGTTCCCGTCCACACATACTTTCAGTCTCCTGAACCTCAGCTGGAGATGATTCTCAAAGAAAAGAAAGACCTATAAGAAAGAAGAGCAGATGCCCCAACTGATTCCTCATTTTCTCTCTACCCCTGGCATCAACAACACTTGATGAACAAAGGAAGCAACATTGGACTGGGGGAGGGATCCTGACTGAGAGACATTCAACCAGTAAAACTTCTAAAACATGTGGTGAAAGAGACTTTTTCTTTGAATTCAATTAACTTGTTAAGTTAGGCATTAGTTGCGTCTTACTTTTATTTTCTTGTAATCAATTCTGACTTTCAGGCCTCGTTACTTGTAGTCACTTAAAATCTATCTTTTGTAGTTAATAAGCTTGTTTTACTGTTTTATCTAAACTAGTGTGTTTGGATTCAAGTATTTGGGAAACTCCATTTGGGATAACAGGATTTGTTCATATCATTTTCTATTAATAAAATGAATGACAGACTTTATATGAGCTTGTATACTCCAGGAGAGAGCTCGGCACTACAAGACGTACATTTCTGGGGGAAAGTACGGGACTGGGAATTTGCTGATGTTGCTCTGCAGTGTAATTCATCAGTGGTTGGCTATAGCACTCATACACTGTAACTGGGAATAATTTATATGTTGGAGGCTGTGTGTGAGCAGACCATGAGTGGTAGCTCTCACAGCGAAGCAGTGTAAAAGGCACCCCAGGTTGGAGAACTGAGGAGACAAAGCTGTTCATCAGTACAGATTGTACCTTGGGTAATGTCACAATATGGTGGTGACAAATTCTGTCTTCTGTTTATGAACTTCATATGGAATCTGTATCTGTACATACTACTAAGACAATCCTCGCTGCCTGGGTTCTAGCATGTGGGGTCAGAATTTCTCAGTAGTGACTAGTGATTTTTGGCACCCAACTTGAGACATTTTAAAGGGGCCTGATTTTCAGAACATGTTAAAACCAACCCTCTATATCAGGTCCTTTCCAAAGATGTTTCAAGGTGGGTGCCTAAAATCACTAGTCACTTTTGAAAATCTTGGCCTTCATCTTCCTATACTCAACTTTAAAGTCAAAAGTAAGAGAAGCCAATTAGATGGCACATGCTCAGAAAAATATAGATTGTTTCCAAGTCCTTTATTAAAAAGGTCAAAAGTTGTGATTACAATTTACAGACATGATTTAAAAATTATTCACAAAGGGTTACAGGAACAACTAATATACCAGAGAGAGAACTTAACCCAGCAGAGATCGAAGGTGGGACAGTATAGTAATTTACCTGCTTTATTTATTGAAAGAAGAAATCTGAATCTACGTTCCCCTTTGCCTCTCAGCTGTAAACATTGGAAATTACATGTTTAGCACCTTAAGTCATGATCCTGCAACACTCATGCACAAGTGTGCACTGATGCACTTTACTTACAACTTGACTGTCCTTTTGCTGTCACATGTGTGAGCATTTGCAGGATCTGGGCCCTTCTTCAGAGATGAGTATTTCTGGCTGATATGAAAGTCTGGAGGTTTTAGTACAGTACAGTGATCACACCTCAAAAAATTCATTTCTTTTGAAAGATTCTACTGGTTTGAGCAATATTCTAGTCTTAAAAAATTGAGACTACCACTGGAACTGATAATCTCGACGAACTCAGAGAACATTAGGTGTGACCATTATATTTTGTTAGAGCAGTGTACATGCTCTAAAGATATGTATCAGCAACATCAATAGATGTGCAATTATGCCTTTAAGACCACAGATTTATTGCTTTTCGGTATGTTTTGTTATGCTAATGGTTTTCATGGTATCTCTTGGTTTTTCAAAAATCACTTCAGGAACTGGGGAACATAGCAAAACAATGACATTTTACCAAATTTCACAAAAGAGGAAAGCCAGTCACAGCATATTTTACGACATTAACAGAAGAGGGAGACTCAGTATGTCCGAGTCTCCCAATATGAAAACGCAACTTCAACAGTGCAGTAGCCAATGTCCAAACATCCAGAACTTGCACTTCTGCTGTCTACCATGACAAGACGTAGACAAACTGCACAATGGAGCATGTTTTAGGGACAACACAAATATAAATACAGAAATCATCACTAATATGAAGTTGGATCTGAATTTTACTAATGCAAGGTATTTCACCAAGGGTACTACATCCAGTGATACTGTTTAGTGGGTATTATCCACATCTTGTTGGCATCACAGTGTTTACTTTACCAAGGTGCCTGCAGAATTCCCTACTGCAAGGATGAAGAATACTGCAGATGCCATGATAAGTTTAAGTACTGTGAGTAGCAAGTGTCAAGGTTTAATGGCACCCACTGTATGTATAATTTAGCATGTTATTTGTACCACGCGGGACAAAGCAACTGTATAGTATGCCTTTGTTAAGGCTTTGTGCTGGTTTAAAGGTAGATTTTTTTAAAAAAAAGATTGTCCAGCAGTGTCCACTTTGCTCATCTTCAGTGGAACATCTCTTTGTTGATCCACATAAGACTGCGTGTCTCATTGGGTTTGCATTCATACTCGATGCTACCAAAGGCGTTTCCCCATTGGCAATGATTTCGTTTGTGGTAGTCATAGAATTTGACTTGCCAGACTGTCTCAAAAGTGCCGATGTCACTAAACTGCGAAGGACAGGGAATAAAGTTGTTAGTAAGCAGCTCAAATTTTTCTCCTCTTCCTCAATGCAATGTGCCCTCCAACTAAACTGCCCGTGTGAAACACTAATGTAAGGGTTATTCCCCAAGTAGCAAAATCAAAGATCTTTCAAGGTTGCCATAGTATCCTTCATGCAATCTTTAGTGCCTAAGCATAATTAGTAGTACATACAGGGCCTGATTCTCCCTTGCCTTGTCCCTCTGCCACTCATTTATACTTGTGCAAGGTGAGTGAAAATGATACCATTCTGACCGGGTACCATTTTATACCCACTTTCTATAAGTGCAAGTAACTTCTGGGGGCAAGGCAGTGGAGAATCAGGCTTATAATGCTTTAAATGACGATCCTGCAACACTTGGTGAGGTGATGAAAGCAAGTGATTATGCCAAATACATATTGTGTGAAATATATATCGCCAACATATGAGATGTGGTTTTCCAGCATTGTGCAATGTACTGTGCTTGCCAGGAGATCTGAGGTTAGTGGGTTACCTGTGTACTTTGATCTGTACATAGAATTAACCGTAATGAATTTCCTCCTTTTTGCTTTGCCTGCAGTCTCGAGTATTACCTTATTTTTTCATTTGCGGTGCCATTCAATCTGTAGATTAATGCAAGTTATTACTATGCGAGCTGTTACTATGTTATCTGTAGACTTCCCTTGGCTTCTATTCCACATTTTTATACCAAACAAGAGTGAGAGAGGCTCCCACTTACATTTTGCTATAATCACTGCTCATTGTAATGTGCTATTGAATCATAATTTCGGGACAAATGACAGAAACTAGGAGATAGCAAAGTATATTCTAGTGGTTGTTTAGGAGATAGCAAGTATGAGTGATTGGGTATGTTCCATTACAATGAAAGAGAATTAAGATTTCTGTATTGGACTTGGCATTTGTCTATGAACTAACATTACTTTAAACATGTTATTTGGAAATAAATGGGGCTACAGTAATAATAACTTGGAATTCCAACAGTATGAAATATCTCATGTTTTCCCCTCAACCTCTTGCAAGACACCAGCAGAATACGGTCGCATGAGAGGTACAAGGATAGATTATCATTTTAATTGCACCTGTGTAAATGTGGTAATTACTCCAATGACTTCAACTGAGGTCCTGCAGATTTTCACCAGCACAAATGATCTTGGAGGTTGTTTTTGAAATGTGGGTATGAGGGTTTGTACACGCCAGCTCTAGGCTCAACAGCACATTATACTGGTGTATGTTCTATTTGCAGGAGACTAACCGCTGAAGTCAGTACTACTGCAATGGAATAAGTATTACTATGTTTTTAGTGTTCCTTTTAAAATATTCCTATTGCTCATTTTAATAATGACTCTTCTCCATGTGACGGTTTTCATTGCAATCATACATTCAGGAGCTGACCTTTGATCATCCACATACTGTATTCACCACTGGAAAGTCATCATGTAAATCCCTTTTCAGAATGACTCTTTCAGCCAGCCTGAAGAAGCAGAAGCTTCTGTGTCTACACCTGACCGATTACAGCTTATTTCCCAGTTGGGCGGTTATTTTGCTTCTGCCTGCTGAGCAGTTAGTAAGCTGCCACTGCCTAACCTAAGGAACACATTTATTACCTCACCCACCTTGTTGCTGCGGAAGGGACACCTTTTCAAAAGAACTCTACACCCAGCAATGCCCATTGATAATCAGAATTTAGTCATGACCATAATGGGAGCTACTGGGTCCTGAGTTCTTTTGACAATCGGACTTCAGTCATGGGTGTCGCCTTAATATCTGCACTATTACAGGAAGTCACAGAAAACAGTTACTGAGAATCTGAAGTTACTGTAGCAGCTCTCCCACACTCTCCCCAGTGGCTGTGTTCATTCCCAAGGAACGGACATGGTTTCAGCTACCCAGCCTGGGGGCCACTTGTAACCCAAAGCAGTAGAGGCTGAGAGTGCTGTGTAAGCACCGTGCTTAGCCCTGGGGAAAAGGACTGCCTCCTCCTGCTCAAGGAACCCCACTTACTAACCCAGGAATGGCATTGCTAGTGGAGGGAAGTGTCAGCCATCCTCATCTGAGAGGATAGTTAATCTGATGGAGGGCCTTGTGCAATGCACTAAAGGAGTTTGCATGTGTATTTGGGGGAGCAGAGAATGGTGGTGGGGGGTGTCTGTGAACTTCCTTGGAGAAAAAAGTCAGTTGTAATACTGTTGATAGGATTAGATGGGATAGGCCAGGAAATAAGTGATGGGGGTATCGACTTCATAGCAACTGTATAGAAAAGCTGGACTGGAGAGATGTACAGGGAAAAGAATCCCTCCCCCCCAACCCAAACTGCAGAGCTACCCTGAATAGTCCCTATGATCTTAATGCAGCCCCACTGTGGGATTCCTGGGGAAGGACAGGATGATCTGTGGACGTTTTGGCCATGCTGTGCCCCAACCCAATGCCTGAGCACAGGCAGCACCATCTAGGTGGCTGAGCAATCTCTACATGGTTCCCCTAAAGTCCCATCACCCTGCAGAAGAACTACACCAGTTCCACCACCTAGGGACTCTCCAGGACTGCGTGGTTAGTAGTGGTAGCTAAAGTAAACTTAGAATCAGAAGGTCCTTTCCCTCTCTTGCAGGTATGTGCCATAGTTCTTTATGCAATCACCCATCCACGTGCTACAGGGCTCAGTAGTTAGTTATTCCCTCAATCCCTCTGAAGTTGGGCGCAATGAGGTTTTTTAATGGCTAATTGTTTGGGGGGGTTGTTGTAAGCTGACCAGCCCCCTATCAATATTCCATTACGTAGCTCCTCTCCCCATGGTGTCTGAGCACTGTCTAAGTCCATGGTCCCTGCACTCTGAAACCCCCAGTCACCTTCTGGGTGATTTGAGGACTTGCCCTTCCATACAGGCCAGTCCCATGCATCTTGGAATGCAATGGTAAAGGAACAGAGATCTATCCATGGGCATCCAGGAGAGGATACCAAATTCTCTCTTGAAGCCTCTTGCTGCTATTAGAACCATTGCTGCCTGAGCACACAGAGTGCTGGCCCTCAAGCGTGAGCATCCTCAGCCCCTCCCAGGTGTGTGTTAACAAGTGACCTCCCATAGACCCTTCCCATGGTGAGGGCATACGCAGAGCACCCTACAGATCATAGATTCATAGATTCATAGATTCTAGGACTGGAAGGGACCTTGAGAGGTCATCGAGTCCAGTCCTCTGCCCGTATGGCAGGACCAAATACTGTCTAGACCATCCCTGATAGACATTTATCTAACCTACTCTTAAATATCTCCAGAGATGGAGATTCCACAACCTCCCTAGGCAATTTATTCCAGTGTTTAACCACCCTGACAGTCAAAACCTCTGCTCCTCAATGCAACAAGGAGGGGGCTTCTGGGGCACTGGAGCCAACAACTCCCCAGGGTTACTGTCATTGTCAAATGGCACGTGAAGACCTCAGACTCATTCCCTTAGTTCTCTGGCTTCCAATTCACTTCCTCATTGCTCTGCCAATGAGAGCTTCCCTAATGGACACCCTGCTAAAAATATAGCTGCATGGTAAAATAGCTCACAGGTTTCTAGGAACAAGGCATAATTTGAGTGTTCAAGTACCAGAACAACACCTATATAAATAAATGCCTTCCTAGGATCCTGAAGATGCAGAAATAAGATTGCTGATACAAAGGCCTAACTAAACCAAATCCTATTAAAGCAAATGCAATTTTGGGTTGCATTACAGAGGCATAGCATGCAAGTCATGGGAGGTGATAGTACCTCTCTACTCTGCGCTGATTAGGCCTCATGTGGACAGTGGAGTATGGTGTCAATTTTGGTCACTACTGTATAGAAAGGATGTAGAGAAACTGGGAAGGACGCAGAAGCAAGCAACAAAGATGATGAAAGGGATGGAATGCAAGCCATATGAGCAAAGGCTGAAGGAACTGGGTATGTTTAAAAAAGAGGCGATTAAGGGGGGACATGATAGTGGGCTTTAAATACTTGAAAGGCTGCCATAAAAAGATGGAGAAAAGTTGCTCTTTCTTGCCACAGTTGGCAGGACAAGAGGCAATGGGTTCAAATTACAGCACTGCAGATTTAGATTAAATCTCAGGAAAAACTTCCGAACAGCAGGACAATGGAACCGACAGCCTAGGGAAGTTTTGGAAGCTTCTTCACTGGAGGTTTTCAAAAAGAGGCTGGAGAGCCATCTGTCTTGGATGGTTTAGACATAACAAATTCTTGGCAGAGGGTTAGACTAGATGATCTTTGTGGTCCTTTCTAATCCTATGGTTCTAGGATTCTATGCCAGCTACCAATAATTAACAAGAGTTTAAGAAGTCACGTAACTGAAATTTGATATATTGTGCTCAAGAAATAACTTCTTGTTACCTGTTCTGAAAAAGGTTATCTTGGCTGATAAATTACTAGGAATTTTCTGGCTTTTACCGATTCAAATGCTAGTTTATGACTTGAGGCCCAGTCCTGCTCTCTTTATTCAAGCAAAACTGACTGCTTTCAATGAAAGTTTAGCTTGGAGTAAGGACTCTAGGATTAATCCCTTACAAGGTATCTTCCTTTCCTAGTGTGCATCAGAACATGACTTGTCTGCTGTAGAATTGGAAGAGCAGGGTAACCATCCACACAGGGATAAAAAAGGGTGGGGGTCAGAGGGTGGGAAAGAAATTAAAGCTGTATACAAGAAGGCCAATTTCTAAAACCTAGACATTTAAATTGGGCTCTATATAGTGCTTAAGCATGCAAATGGACACAAACTAATTTTCAGATTGGACTGTCTAAAGTTAAGTGCCTAAATCTCTTAAAGATCTACATACCTTTAAGCAACTAAATGCTGATTTAAACACCTAATTCCATGTTTAGATACCTATATTGAATACTTAGAAGCCTAAATACAGATTTAAGTACCCACATTTGAAAGACTGAGCTCTTTAGACCAAATCCTGAGAGGTGTTGAATAGCTGCTTACCAATTTCAAATCCTGTTGACTTCACAGTATCTCAGGATTTGATTCTAAAGCTGCTGTTTGAACAAATATTGTTATTGCTTCATTTCAGTACCAAAAATCAGCCTTCAGAAGCCTGGGCCTCCTATGGGTTTATGTTAAAATATGTCCAAAGGAAAAATAAACTACTGGATTTTCAGGGCTCACAGACGTGCTGTGCTGTAGGAGTAAAAACTTCATGGCTAGCAGAATGGAGATACTTTATTCGGTGAAGTTTGATTCTTCGAAAGCATCATTTTCTCCACATTCTCTAAGGGGACACAGCAGAACACGACTGCTACACCTACTGATGGAATTTAGTGGACATTGCCTTTGTAACTTGTACAGAAAATAATCTTGCATCTTAATCTTATACCTTTGAAAAGAAAATACATTCTCAGAATTCAGAAATTATGCTGGGCATTTGCTTTTCATGGGTAAATTCTCATATTAAGCAGGCAGTGGTATGTTGCAGTGATGAATATGGTACAAAGCACTAAAGGGCTAATGAAATTGCCCAGGAAAATAAAAGTGTATCTGCTATTACCTCTCATTATAAGGAGGTATCTCAAGGTAGGATATAGACGGCCAATGTTAAGTTACACATGTTGTAGTTATGTGTAAACTATTTACAGTGGTGGCACGATTCTTAAATTACTCAATGTTTTTAGTATGTCGCACTAGTAAATAAAAAAAAAGTACTTGAAGTCTTAAAAATTTAAATGGGAATCTACTTAATTTAGTACAGTGCTCTGATAAGTGATTTCTTTGAGTGGGTACCTATATACCATAAATGGAAAGATTTTACTCTTTAGATGACTACATATATCAAATGAGTGTGTCTATATATAAATATAAATTCCTCTAAACAGATTTTCAAGGTAATCACAAATCAATATTTAAAACCACTTTGAAAACATTTCAATCATTATTGACATGAATTGACGGGGTGGAACCCCTGCGGATAGGGATTGCCATAGTAATGAGAAGTGCAACAGAAAATGTAGCCTGAGCACACATCAGGATAGCAAGGGCAGAACTGCAGCTAGAAGTACAGAGAAGAGCAGAAATTTAACACTCTGGGCCAGATCCTCAGCTGGTGTCCATGGAGCTATGGGCAATTTCTTCCAGCTAAGGTTCTGCCCCTCCATCTTTATAGAGGTAGACAGTGAATACCAAGAAGACTCCACCACACAAACATCTAGAAACCATATAGAACTTTTTCTGAAGAGACCTGTGGAAATCTACTGCTTCTCTGATCTTCCTACATTAAACTGGCAATATACCTGCTCCCATCTTCATTATTTCACATTTAATTAACTCTTAAGGGTTCAGTCTTCTCATCCATCTGAGCAAGTAGTTGGAAATTTTACATTCCTTTGCAGTTTTCCTTTCAAACCAAGGTGAACTCAAAAAAGTCCTGTGAAAGGTTTAATAAGCACTCAGTCAGGTTCTTTAGGAGGAAAAGCGTATGGATTTTTATTTACTGCACAAGCACTCCATTGATTCTGAGTTAGCTCAGGCTTCAGGAAACATCTAGTTCACACTGGGTGTGCGAAGAGGCTTAACAAAATCATTAGCATGCTCACTCCCATACTCATATTAATGGTAGTAGTAACTCGATATCCTTAAGGAATGAGGTTGGCTTCTGATTTGTAATAGTTTTAGCTTGGCAGTAGCTTAATAGTCTATCAACTTTGAAAAAAGCAACAGAGGGTCCTGTGGCACCTTTAAGACTAACAGAAGTATTGGGAGCATAAGCTTTCGTGGGTAAGAACCTCACTTCTTCAGATGCAAGTAATGGAAATCTCCAGAGGCAGGTATAAATCAGTATGGAGATAACGAGGTTAGTTCAATCAGGGAGGGTGAGGTGCTCTGCTAGTAGTTGAGGTGTGAACACCAAGGGAGGAGAAACTGCATCTGTAGTTGGATAGCCATTCACAGTCTTTGTTTAATCCTGATCTGATGGTGTCAAATTTGCAAACGAACTGGAGCTCAGCAGTTCTTACCCACGTGGTTCTTACCCACGAAAGCTTATGCTCCCAATACTTCTGTTAGTCTTAAAGGTGCCACAGGACCCTCTGTTGCTTTTTACAGATTCAGACTAACATGGCTACCCCTCTGATACTATCAACTTTGAAGCATGCTGCTTTACCCCAAATGCAGTGTAGAACAGAAGGGTCAGGATGCCTCAGTGGGATTTTTTCCTATGCACAATAAAATATTACAGCTAGGAAGCAATGTTGTTGGAAACCTATTGGTTGAATTCTGCTTTGCTGCTTACAACACATGTACACTTTGCAGCCAGAGAAAGGAGTGCTTTGAAAGATTTAGAAGTGATCTATTCAGACAATTCCAAAGCCATGTATATGGTCTCCTGCCCCAAATTCTTCATCTGGAAATTGCTGGCTAGGTGAAAGGCCCCTTTGGGAACGGTGCCTAGCTAGGGAAGGAAGTTATGGAGCATTGTCAGATCCCCATAGATGTGTGAACAAGAATATTTAGCAATTAGGCTGGTCAGACCTCAAGGTTTCCCAAAATCTTTAAATGACATCTCTTCGTCCCCTGCCCCCAATTGCTTAGCAAATTTCAGTCTGAGCAAAAAAACCTGAGAGACGAAGCCTGAAATGGAAGTGTCTACCACATTCCATATCCTGCCATTATAACTGTTAATGGTGATTTTCCATTTGCACTACTGGGACTATAAAATGTTAGTATGTGATCACGGCAAACTCTTCATATATGGTTTTTAGAAGTGTAACATGTTTAATATGACTGTATTTGGTCTTGAAGCAATTACAACATGCATAATAGCACTCCTTTCTCTAGTCTTTTTATGTTACTGTCCTTGGATAATATTGGTGGGGCTGGTAACACCACCTATTATAAAGGTTGCCCAACACTTTCCATTATTAGACCCTGTGTTTAATTGCTCACAACTTTGCCAAACTTTAACAATTGCCTTATAGGAGTGGCAAAATATTTACAAATCTGTATTTTATATACTAGTAAGGTATTACTTGAAATATAAAGCCTCTCAAGGAATACATTATTTTGACTCAATTTGTTTATATCTAGGCGTCCAGTCCCACAGCCTTTAGATATGCAAAATGTAAGGGCAGCAGGACTGGGCCCAGAATAGCAAAATAAAGCCCCCATCCTGCAGTCACATACAGCACATGCTTAATTTTATGTTTTTTTTTGTAGTTCCATTGGCTTCAGAGGGAGAAATGCCATAAAGTTGAGCCAGTGCGTAAATATTTTCAGCATTGGCACCTAAGAACCTGAGCGCAAGGCGAGAACCCCATTGCCCTCAGTAGGTGGAGGGGCTGGGTCCTCTCTGTGGATGTGAGAATTACTTAGAAGAATAAAATTGATTTTCCTTAAAAACAAATGAGTATTTGTTATACCAGTGTCCACGCGGAACATAGAGGGAAGGTGTGGTATTGAAACATGCTATTTGAAACATGGTTTGTTAAGTTAGGGGGGACTTTGTCTAACTCAGGAGCAGCTCAGTGAATTGAGCAATGCAGGGGGTCAGGTAAGGTCATCCCTTTGCAGTACTTCTCAGTGAGACTTGCAGGTTGCTGTGGATAAAGTAATAGTGATTTCAGTGTGTGGTTCTGCTATGGCCTCTTTCACACTTTGTAAGGATATTATATGCAACATCTTAAAGTCTACACTTTAAAATAAACAATGACTGAGATTTACAACAACGAATCCTTTCTATGTTTTCCCATTTACCAGCTGCCAGAATCTCACCCTCCCCAGATCTCATTCAGTTCTTGACTCCATTATCTCCCTTGCCTCTGTACGCACTATAGTGTCCAGCATGTGCTGCCCATGCTCAGAGGGATGGTACCTGTATGTTGACCTGTAAAGGCTGTCTTTGCCCACTTTTGGTGTGAGGCACTCCTTCTGTATCGTAGATTCCCGTGTAACAGACGACCTGGGGATCTCTTGATTTCTCTTCCAGGGGGATGTTCACTCCTCCTATACCCATAGTCCTGAAATAGACAGGCCTGAAGCAGTTTGAAACAACC